GACGAGAAGATAAACCCCAACTTCTAAAAAATGAGGTGGAAGCTACAATAAAAGAAATCACAAAAAAACAAGACTCCAGGAACAGACAATATACCAATAGAACTCTAGTACTAGCCAACTTATGTCAACAGATATGGCAAACCAAATGATAGCCAACAGATTGGAAGCAATCAATATACATCCCCATCCACAAAAAAGGACACACAAGAGACTGCAGCAACTTTAGAACCATAGTACTAATCTCCCAGGCAACCAAAATTATGCTCAAAATACTGCAACATAGACTCCAACCACACATGGAGAGAGAAATCCCAGAGGTCCAAGCAGGGTTCAGGAAAGGAAGAGGCACCAGGGTTCACATTGCAAATATACAATGGCTAATGGAGTGTACCAGGGAGTTCCAAAAGAAAATCAGCATGTGCTTTATAGACTATAGCAAAGCCTTTGACTGCATAGATCATGAAAGGCTATGGAATGCCCTTAAATACATGGGAGTGCCAACACATCTGATAGTCCTAATGAGGAATCTGTACTCAGGACAAAGGGCTACTGTGAGGATAGAACATGGAGAAACAGAATGGTTCCCAATTGGCAAAGGAGTCAGACAAGGCTGCATCCTATCACCCTACCTATTCAACTTATATACAAAATATGTTGTAAGGAAAGCAGGCTTGGACATGGAAGAGGGAGGAGTGAAAATAGGAGGAAAAATATCAACAATCTGAGATATGCTGATGACACCATAATAGTAGCAGAAAACCTCACAGACCTGGAACACCTACTAAGGAAGATCAAAGAAGAAAGTGCAAAGGGAAGTTTACTGTTGAACATAAAGAAAACAAAAATAATGACCACCAAGGACCTTCACAAGTTCAACCTAGACAATGAAGAAATAGAAATAGTGAAAGAATTTGCATATCAGGGACCAAACATTGATAGAAATGGGGACTGCAGTCAGGAAATCAGAAGAAGACTAAGGGGGAAAGCAGATGGCGCAAAGTGCCATCTTCAGGGCAAGGAAGGGGAGGGGCAGCTGCACACTGGGTGCCCCAACTCCTTCCTGAAGATGTCGTTGGAGCGCCGGACCCTCTCCATGTCCGGCGCTCGGAGGATGCCTATCCGCTGCAGCGTCCTCACATGTTGCGGTGGAAAAGGAGCCGAAGATGCGCCGGCAGCCTTTTGCGGCGTACCTTCAGCGATTTGCAGAAGGAACACTATTTTAGCACTCCTTCCTGGGGTGGCGAAGCTGTGCTGCGGGGCCGAGGAATGCAGATGCCTCGGCCCTGATCCTCAGCTTCCCGGGGCGGCCCCGTGCTGCCCGTATGCTTAGGCCCTATGAATGGGGAGGGGGGCTATGAAAGAACTAGAAAAGATTCTAAAATGCAAAGATATACAACTCAGCACAAAACTTAGAATCATACAAGCCATCATATTCCCTGTTACCATGTATGGATGTGAGAGCTGGACGGTTAAGAAAGATGATAGGAAGAAAATCAAGGCATTTGGGATAATGTGATGCTGGAGAAGAGTGCTGAGGATCCCATTGACAGCCAAAAGGACAAACAAATGGGTCCTAGAACAGATCAAGTCAGAGATATCCCTAGAAGCCAAGATAACAAGACTTAGGCTGTTGTACTTTGACACATCATGGGAAGGCATGAATAGTTGGAAAAGACAATAATGCTAGGAAAGGTGGAGGGAAGTAGAAAGAGAGTAAGGCCACATGCTAGATCAGGGGTAGGCAACCTTTTCCCTTTAAGGGCTGAGGGACTTCAGCTCCCAGAATCCCAGGAGCTATTGGCCAACATAGGACTATTGGCCAACATGGCTGAGGCTTCTGGGAGCTGAAGTCCCTCGGCCCTTAAAGGGGAAAGGTTGCCTACCCCTGTGCTAGATGTATGGACTTTATTAAAGAGACCACAAATATGATTTTGCAGGAGATGGGCAGAGCAGTAGAGGACAGGGGGGCCTGGAAATGTCTCATCTATAGGGTTGCCATGGGTTGAGACAGACGTGAAGGCAGTTAACAACAATAAGAAGTAACAAACAAATCTTGAGAAATGGATCTTATTCAGGATGAGTGTAAAGTGGTAATCCTTGGTTGCAGTATTAGTGCTTGGGTATTTTCTGCCCCCTGTGTGAAAATAACGTAGCTGGATTGATTTAGATGTGTGTTGTCTGGGTGTGCAGATGGCATTTGCTCCTTTGCCTAAGGCAAAAAGTGTCTTGGGCTGGCTCTTATCCTAATGTTATAGCTGATGAGTTCATAAGGACGCATAATCTTTTGGGGAGTAAATTGAGGTATTCTATTCAGTTATGTATTTTTTAATTTTTATTTGTGTGTTGTTAACATTGACTGTAAATAGTATTTTCATTAGCAATTGTTATTTTATTCTTTACTATTGTTTGGTCTTTTGTTGATTTATTTGTGATGAGCTTTTTAGTTGGTGCACCTGTGGACGCAGTACATTCAGCATGGATGGATGTCTGTCAATATGTATAAATGCATGTATGATCAAATTCTTAAAGTGAGAGTGACTCCCTTGGAGTGCCCTTTTTCTGCCAAAAAAGAGGCTGAATGAGCACTGCAGAAATAATCCAGTTTGACACCACTTTAACTGCCATCAGTCAGTCCTGTGGAAATCTGGGAAGTGTCTCTAACAGGGAAGCCTAAATGTCTCACAAAACTACAGTTCCCAGAATTCCATAGCATTGAGCCATGGCAGTTAAAATAAAATAAAATAAATTGAGCCATGCCAGATAAAGTGGTGTCAAACTGGATTGTTTCTGCAGTTTGGATGCGGGAGAGAGAGAGAGAGATACTGCTTTTTCAGGAACCCTCCAAAAACTGAGAGTTACCTTTTAATTAGGCTTTGCAGCTCCTCTGCAATGTTTTAAAATTGCAGTTTTTCAAAACCAGAAGTGGATTTTGTGTGTGCATATTTGGCCATCTATGCTGAATCAAGAATGTTCTAGGGTTAGAAAATCCACTCCCCCTCCTCCAAAAAAGCTCCCCTCACTCATTTGCCAGAACTGATGTCTTCTTTTCTTGGGAAAAAAATGTTATGGAGATTCTTCTCTCCAGCAGAATTGTTCTGAAAGAAAATAACCTTTTTAAAAACAACAAAAAACAACACAAAAACAAAACCAGGGCTTAGGTCTCTCCTTCCCATGGAAGATGATGTAATCAAGCAGTTTCTTAAGAAGAATCAAGTTTAGTTTTTGAGAGAGACAGGACAGAGTTGCAGTCAGAATTGGAGACTGAGCAAATCTGAGGAAAGGTCAGAACTGAATGTGAAA